AAACAAAAAGGTAAAAATTGAGGGTTAAGTGTTAACCACAAATTCTCAACCACTAATAGAGAGAGACTAAACCAGGTTTTTAGCATTTTAACAACTTTCCTTTTCTGATGATTGGAATATTTCTTCATTCTCCTCGACAGAATTAAAAGTTCTTTCTTTCTTTCTTTCTTTCTGTCCAGGCAGAGGCAGAGAAACAGGAGAAATTTCTTCTTTTCTTGAGTTTCCACTTTGCAGGTAAGGTAAGGGAAGGGAACCCCACATTCATTAATTCCTTCATACTAACTTTCTTCATTAACAATATTTACTGTTCTTAAGGAGGATTTTGATTTTTGATTTTGTTTGAATTTAACTTTCTATTCATCATCCATTGTAGTTGCATGGAAGAAAGGGAAGAGCATAACCCTTCTACAACTCCAAAGGAAAACACAAAACACAAAAGCCACAAGATAGCTGGTCCGGAGATGACGGCAGAGTATCTCAGGAGGCATCCCTCGATGCGCGCCACTACCAAGCCATCATCACCATCATCAGGAGGAGGGAGGATCAACTGCCTCTGCTCTCCCACCACACATGCAGGCTCCTTCAGGTGCCGATACCACAGGCTCCAAGGCATGACAAGAGGAGGCTCTGTCGGCTCTAACCTCTCTTCGCTGGCCACCGCCAAACAAACCACCATCAGCGACTCCCTCCATGCCCAGTAGCCTCCAATCAAACTTACACCTACCAATTCCATATTCAATAGACATATATATTTCTCTTTTCTTGGTGGGGTGCATTTGTAACTTTACGCCTAAATTTCATGTCCTTCATTTCAATTTCCAAGGATTTGGGAGATATGGGATCCAATCACCCAATCCATTAGCTTTAATATCTTAATACCATTGTAAATGCACCCCAGCTAAATTGTTTCCCCCTTTTCCTCAGTAAATTCTTCAATATAAATAAAAGTAATGATAAGAAATTGTATCTTGTGTAATTATTTATTATACCGTTGATAAACCTAGTTGTAGCTTGTACAATTCTCATATAAAATTTTGGTTTAATTTATTGTAATAATTTAACTATCATATAATGTAAAATTATAAATTTACAATTACAATATACAATTAAACTAATATATAAATACAATATCATAAGTGAATTATACAAAATAATTTTAGAGCCTCTTTGGTATACTTATAGTCTTTGTAAACATCTTGGAGGAAAAAAAAAAGATTTTTATTCAATTATATGTTTAGTTCAATCCAATGCCTTAATCTGACTACATAATTTTTTTTTTCTCTTTTTTCTTTATTTTTCTCAACCTAAATATACTATAAAAAAACAT